CCTGCACCAGGAAGTCTGTCAGAGTTTATGAATGAATCAATGAGTGAATGGTGAAGATTCACTTAATTAACAGATATTTATTGTGTACCTGCTGAGCACTTGGCACTGGGGACATGGCCATGACCAAGACAGTGTCAGCCTGGGGCCTGAGTAATAATACAGCCCAGTGAGGAAGATCAGTGATGAACCCAGACAGGCAGAGCAGGGAGCGGGGCTCCCGGGAGACAGGTACTGACCGAGGGAGGGCTTCCTGGAGGAGTTGGTACAGGAGCTGAGACCTGGAGGAAGAGAGTACCAGCTAGTGGAAGGGGCGGGGTGTGCCCCAGGCAGAGGAGAGAGCACACACAAAGACCTGAAGATGAGGCAGGGAGACCACAGCATATGGAACACAAAGGAGACTAGGGAGGGGAGAGACTGGCGTAACTGGACCAGGCCAGATCATGTCCGACCTTGTGGGATGTGCTGAGTGAGGAGTTTGGATGCAGGATTCGGGGGGGGGGTGGTCAAGCTAAGAGTCCCCAACCTGGACTACCCTGCTTTCCTGAAACTCCACAGACACCCCCTCCAGGAGACCTCTAGGATTGCTCAGTGGGGAGCACCCAGTCACACTCAATAATCAATACTGGGCAGTCACAAACCAGCCAGGCTCTACCCTCAGGGAGGTCACAGTCACGGCAGCAGGACACACACCCACACATACAGACCCCTCTCCTCTCGTGCCTCAGAAACTTTCACAGGCCTTTCTTTTGGAGCCAGAGCCTTGGCATCACCCAGGTGCTCCTGGAAATGCAAAAGACTACATCAGATGTGCACCAGACCCCCTAGGTGGTTCGCGATCACATTAACAGCTGAGAAGCACTGTTCTCGGGCTTAACCACCCTGTGCCTCGGTTTCCTTCTCTGTACAACAGGGATAACAACCGAACTTATGTATGGGGCTGATGTGGTATGAGGATTGACTGAGATAATGCATGTGAAAGCATTGAGCAGAGCTTACTAAGCATTGACTTTCAGTCTCCTCCTCCTCATTTTTATAATTACATTTCAGAACCCAAAAGGACTTTCAGAGCCCACCGTCATCCAACCTTTCTCTGTGGATGCAAGAACAGAGCAGCAAGGGTTTTGCCAAAGGAAGAATGTTCAAATGTGCTGAGGGCTCCTTTTGGTAGCATTGGCCAACCCTGGGGCTGTTTACAGGATGCTCTGAGCAAGCAAAGTTGGTACTGCCACCCCAGTCCCAATCTTCAGGGCAGAAGGCTGAGGGCTCCCCCTGCCTCCTCCCCATGCAGAGCCAAGCACTCGGGAGCCAGAGCAGAGGTCCTCCTCCTCCTGGAAGCTCCCTGGGATTGAGCCCCATGGAGAAAGAGTTGTCTTGCCCACTCTAAGCTCTGCGAGCAAGGCACACACATCTCTGTGTGTGTTTGAGTGAGACTCTGTGTGTCTATGTGTGTGCATGTGTGTCTGTCTGTCTCCAGGACCGATTTTTCCCTTAGGCACAGAGGGCATGGTGCCAGGGCCCAGTCTAATTTTAGAGACCCATGAAAATATTTAATTTCTTTTTAGATGAAAGAAAAACTGAACTTCTAGGTCAAATAAAATGTTTTAATATATGATATATGCCTTTTACAAATGCAGTCATGAAATGTAATTTTTAAAATGCCTTTATGGAGAAAGAGGCTGATGAACGCAAAATTTCCCAGGACCCATGAAAGCTCTAATGTGATCCTGTGTGTCTCTGTCCTGGGATGTCCGTAGGAGGGTCTACATTTGCAAAGGTCAAGGTGGCTTTGTTTTTAGAACAATATAAGCCCCTACAACATGCCAAGCTTGTTCCAGGAGTTTTACTGATATTCATTTTACATAATTCTCCCACCAGCCTCATGAACTCGGGGCTACTCTGACCTCCTTTCCCAGGCAAGGAAATGGAGGCTCCAGACATCAACAGCCCAAGTTCACCCAGCCACTCAATGGTGGGGCCAGAATGTAAGCTTAGGGGACCTAGGTTCTGGGTCTGCCTGTCCGGTGGGGTAAATGCCCAGCATCCACATAAGTGTGACATACATAACTCACTTAATAATTTAAAGCACAGGCTCTGAAGCCCCATGTGCTACATTCCTATCCCAGCTCGGCCACTAATTGGCTGTGTGACTCTAGGCAACTGACTTCACCTCTCTGGGCCTCCGTTTTCTTGCCTGTAAAATGATAGTACCTACTTTGTAGGAATGTTGTGAGAATTAAGCCCATTAATGTGAGTGCTCAGAGGAATTAATTCTTGTTCTTGTATGTAAAGAGCATCCACGAGCATCTGTTGCGAAGGTATGTGTATTGGTAACCGGGTGAAGGTGTGTTTGGGTGTGCAGGTGTGTGTGTGTGTGTGCACATGCATGCTGTTTCTCGGTTTGGCCGTGTGTGTTGTGGCTTATGGGTGAATGTCTGAATGCCTGAGTGTGACCCGAGTGTGAGTACGTACTGGCAGCTGTGTGGATGTGTGGGCCACCTGTGTCAGGGTGTCAAGGTCTTTGGGCAGCCAGGGTAGGTATTTGTGTGTCTCCTTTATTCCGTGGGAGAGGAGATGAGGGGCTTGGACAGAACAGGAATGAGGGGTCACTCCCTGTCTGATGCTGGGGCCGAGTCACTGCTTGGTGGTGGTTGCTGTGTCATCTCCTAGTCCCTGTCCTTACTGCCAGACTGGTGGCAGACAGAGGGGGCGTGGGGGAACGAGGTGCTTGAGGCTGGGCCTTTGTCTAGAAACCTCAGCCTCCCTGTATTGCCCCCATGTCCCTCCAGCCTTTCACCTCCCTACCCACTCCCCTCGATTGGGACAGGGAATCAGGAACCATTCAGACCCTCCTGCTCTGCTTCAGACCTGCTGTGTGACCACGAGCCAGGCCCTCTCCCTCTCTAGACCTGTGGGATTCGAGGACTTTCAAGAGCTTCTCCCTCTGTGCCCCAAAGGGGCCAGGCTCTGCATTGGGAGGGAAGTGCCAGGAACTCAGGTTTAGGAAGCAGCTAGGGGAAATCTTACCAGTGGGTGCTTAAGAGTTGGAGGCTGTGGTGCCCAAAATATCCTAATTAGACTCTTGAACTACATTTCCTAACTGGGCGGCCAGGTAAGCAGCTTACCCCTCCGAGCCTAGGTTATAATATTGTACACTGTTGAGCAGGTAGGGATAGGTTTGCAAAGCTTAGAGCTCCCCACCAATGGAAGTTGTCATTTAAACAACACTAAGGTTTTTCAGGGAGTTTCACCGAACCAGGCAGCTCTCAGAAGTCAGGAAGAGAAGGGAATTCTGGGTTTGCATTTCTTGCGAAGGAATCTTGGGCAACTCACAATCTATCATTTTCCTCTTATAAAATGAAGATTTTTCCTCCTTTAACCTTCCACAGCTGTTCTAAGGATTGCAGATCTTGTATTGAAAGGCTTAGTACAAGAGCTGACATACAGTAAGTGTTAAATACATGGCATCTATTATTATTATTACTACTACTATTATCATCGTTATCATTATTACTATTATTATTTATCCCCAGCCCCCCGCAAACATTATTTCTGACTACGGATAAGGAGCGGAAAGCAGAGGCTACCAACACCATCAGCAACTGGGACCCTTCACCCTAAGTTTCATTCCCCAGCCCCTCCAAACCCACGTACCTCCCAAACGCTGGACCTGGGGAGGCATTAGGGTCCAAGACACACAGCCTTTGTCCATCTGGGAAAAGTGAGAGGTAAACATTTTTCAAGCTCTAACAGCGAGTCAGGGTAGAAGCTGGTATAAACCTCGGGACTCCACCCCCACTTCCACTTTCACCTGGAGCATCAGAGCCCCTCCCATCCGGCCCAGGACTCAGTTTCCCCGCCTATGTGACTACACGACACAAGCCTGGGTCTCTTTTTGGAGATTTGACCTTCCTCTCGAGAGAGGGCGCTGCACCACCAGGAGAAATGGGGGGGAGGGATTGCCAGAAGTGAGAGGCACCCTCTACTAGGGTCTTCCCCGCCGGGGTCCTCCCCTGGGCCAGGCTAATTGCCTATTAATACCAGCCCCCGGGGAGGCGCCACGCTGCGCAGGCGCGGGCAGGTTCCGCAGGCGCGAGGGGCGAGCGCGCGAGCGAGCGAGGGATTCCCTCTGACGTAATTGCTAGGATACCAAACAAACACTCAGCCGCGCCGGCCGAGCTCCTTATATGGCTAATTGCGTCACAGGAACTCCGGGGAGACCAAGCCGGGATCCCCTCCCGCCGAATGCTCCAGAACGCAGCCCCCAAGACCCCCAAGGCTGTGAGGGGGATGCAGGTGATCAGATCGATGCTAGGGCAGACCTCTTGCCGGACGGCGCGGGGCCGGGTTCACTAGGGCCGGAGATATTGAGAAGTTTGTGGCGCGCTGGCCGGATGACGTAAGCAGGGGGGCCGGGCCCTGGGTATATAAATACAGGCTGGCGGTTCTGAGCTTCATTCATAAGACTGAAAGCTACGGCCAAGGCAGGGACACGCGGAGCTGGGACTTGATTGTTGTGGTTGTTCTTCTTGGGGGCTGTGAAATTCGGTTTATTATTTTTTTCCGGAAAGTTTTTGGAAAGCTTCTTCTAGATAATTCTACATTTTATTTTGGAAGATCGACTTACTTTTTTTCTTCTTCTTTATTACTCCCCTCCCCCCGTGGGACCCGCCGGACGCGTGGAGGGGACCGCACCCGAAGCAGATTCTGTACAGCGGGACAAAGCTTGCCACCTCTGGGGGAGCGATCCCCCCTCGCCCCTGGTCCTACGGAGCCTGGACTTCCAGGAGGCACAGCGGCATCTTGTGGGGGCCTGGGCTCCGCAAAGGAATTACACAGAAACTTTGCCATTGTTGGAGCGGGACGCTACCTTCACCCCGAGTTTCCCCGGACAGCGTACTCTGGGGACGCGCTCGGCTCACCCCGGACTCGCACCTTTCTTCTCCCACCCGGCCATAGCCTTGGCTTCCCGGCGACCTCAGCGTGGTCACAGGGGTCCCCCTGTGCCCAGGGAAATGTTTCAAGCTTTCCCCGGAGACTACGACTCCGGCTCCCGGTGCAGCTCCTCACCCTCTGCCGAGTCTCAGTATCTGTCTTCGGTGGACTCCTTCGGCAGTCCACCCACCGCCGCCGCCTCCCAGGTAAGGTCCAGAGGGTCGGGGTGCTGCTTTGTGTTTATACAGTTTTTAAAGGCAAGGGGGGGAGAGAGTAATACCCCCACCCCAAATAAAGTAGCGTCAAAACCCAAGATCTGAGAGGGAATAGGCTCACGGCGCACTTTGCAAACTGCTGAGTCCAGACGTACTTGCAATTGGTTGTGTGCGTGGAGCGCAGGGAGGGAACACAGAGGGGTAGGCTTTGGGGGTGGGGAGAGTGAGCTGTTTCATGCAACGTGTATGCGGTAGCAGGGGTAAGAACTTTAAGCCAGCTCGGGGACGGCTCCCTACTCAGGTCACCAACCTGAAGCTAGCGCAGTTAAGCAGGTGGGGGAAATCCCGGAGAAGCTTTCAGTAGCCTCCTCTCTTTTCCTCCTCCATCCGAGCGCCTACTCCAGCGCCAGGTCACCCTCTACCCAGCGGGAAGGCGGGCCTCGAACCCTTGGTCACGCAGCCTCCGCCTCCTGCGCGGAGACGTAACGGGGGACCCGTGCGTAACGGCTGACGCGCTGGAATCCTCCGTCTGACGCGGGGCACGCACGGCGCGTGGCGCCCCCTTCGTCCGCCCCGCCCCTGACGTCCCGGGAGCGTTCTATTTTGGAACGCCGGGGCCACGTTGCTAAGGGAGGGGGCAGTCCGGCGTTCCGATTGGCCGTCGCGGCAAGAGCTTCGGCCAATCAACTTTCCCTTCCTATTTGTAGGGCGCAGTTTCCTTCCCCCAGTTCGTCCCCGGAACCCGTGGTTCTTCAGCGTTAGGGTCTCTTTTATGGGCTTCTAGAGGCTGAGCGAGAGGATTCCAATCGCGAAAGGAGCGATCCGCTGCGAAACAATGAGTCCGCACGGACCTTGCAAAGATCCTGTCCCTCCGCTCTCTGGGTCAGAGGGTGTCTGTGTGTCGGGATTTCTTTGGGAGACATGGTGACCGTCACCCGCTTCTCCAGGCACACACAGGCATATTCCCACTCCCTCTACTCCGGACGCCCGGTGTCTCCGGCGTGTCTGAAGACGGGACTAGAACCGCTAACCCTAGGGGAACCAGCCAGGTGGTCTCCTGGAGCCCCGCCCCCTCTGGATTTCCAGGACGTTGATTGGCCACCGTGCCAGCCCATCCCTCACCACGCCCCCTGGGAGAGTAGTTAAGCCTTCCGAGCAGTTCTAGGATTACATTTGGGGGGTGGGGGGAGATGAGCGCTGCTTGGGCTTGGGGTCTCAGGACCTACACCGTTCCCCCTCCGCTGCAGTCTAAGGGAGCCCGGCTCCTCACTTTCTCTACTTGTCTGCTCATCGTAACCTGTCACTTATCAGTCTCACTCTGGGGAGAGACAATTACTTGAAACGTTGTTCTAAACTCCTAGGCCCGTCCCCCAACACCCTTTTAACTGGGACCCCCGCCCCTGCATGGGGTCTCATGGACCCTCCCAATCCCTCATCCCTTTGCTCAGAGGGGTGTGTATCTGTGTGTGAGTGTAGAGGAAGGCTTGGCCTAAGGCCTCTCCCTCTCCCTCCCCTTGCCTCTGGGGTGGGGGTGGGGTGTTGTGGCTGTGTGTGTGGCTGTGACTCCATCCCGGGGGTTCTGTCACCGGCTGTGTCCAGCCTCCTCCCCACCCCCCCACACCTAAGAGTCACCAACCCGGGGTGTGATTCACCACCCGCTGGAACCGTGCAACCTTTCCCCGAGGAAGAAGGAGGAGGTAGAAGCCAGTTGCACAGAAATCCTCTCATTAACCACTGCGTCACGGTGTAGTGGAAGGGTGGGTGTTGTGGCTTTTTGCCTGTGACACACACATCCACACCCGCTCGCCCTGTGCTCACTCACGGGGTCGGTGTGTGTATGTGTGTTGGGTGTGTGTGTGTCGGTGTCTCTGTTTGTGTGTCTACGCCTGTGTGTGTATGTGTCACCCCGTAGGAGTGCGCCGGTCTTGGGGAAATGCCCGGTTCCTTCGTGCCCACGGTCACCGCGATCACAACCAGCCAGGACCTCCAGTGGCTCGTGCAACCCACCCTCATCTCTTCCATGGCCCAGTCCCAGGGGCAGCCACTGGCCTCCCAGCCCCCGGCCGTCGATCCCTACGATATGCCAGGAACCAGTTACTCCACTCCGGGCATGAGTGGCTACAGCAGTGGCGGAGCAAGTGGCAGTGGTGGGCCTTCCACCAGCGGAACCACCAGTGGACCTGGGCCTGCCCGCCCAGCCCGAGCCCGGCCTAGGAGACCCCGAGAGGAGACGGTGAGTAAGGGGCATCTGAACTTGGTCTGGGGTGGGAGTGGGGATGAAGGGAGAGAGGCAGGAACTTTTTCAGTACTGGGGGGAGGGATCACCTGCAGCCTAAATGCTGCAGAAACCCTATCATCCTTGCCACAGCCAGGAGGACCAGAGGGTCCTTTTCTCACTCCTGGGGGCTCTTGGAGAAGAGGAGGTTTAGGATGGATTGGGAGGTATGCTGTGTCCCCAGACCTCATGGCCTCTTTCTCCCCTACTCAGCTCACCCCAGAGGAGGAGGAGAAGAGAAGGGTTCGCCGAGAACGAAACAAACTGGCAGCAGCGAAGTGTAGGAACCGGCGGAGGGAGCTGACTGACCGACTCCAGGCGGTGAGGATAGTCCCTGGTGCGGGGTGGGAGAATGCTGAAGTGGGGCGCTATCCCCCCATCATCTGGTATCCAGCACCACCTGTGCCCTTATCCTGGACGGAGAACCAGAGGTTCCACATGTGGAACTAGATACAGACGGGGTCACCCATCTCACACACGCAGACCCTCACTCCTGGCCACTCCCTGTCCTGGTTTATGACCTCCTCGCCTCGCCCCCCTACCAGTCTCCTGGTCTTCGTTTCATCCTGAGGGGACATATGAGTGACCTTTAATAGAGGACAGCTCCAGTCATTTCCTCTTTTTTGGTCTTGGGAAAGCGAGAACCCATTTTTGCCTCAGTTTCTCCATCTCTTCAGCCCCTCTTGGAATCTCCCAGGTTCCTTGTAGCTTTCACATCCTGGAGAGTATGTGAAATGAAATCCTTTAATCCTACGTCAATTCCCCATCACCTGCCCCAGCCACCTGTAGTTCTCAGGTCTTGAGCTGATGGCCTCTACCCAGGTTCTCCTCTAATTTTATGCCCAACCTCAGCCAGAGAGTTTTCTACCTTATGCTTGCAGGGTGACCTGTTACCGTTTAAGGAAATCAGGGAAAGCTACTTTCCTGGGCTATCTGGTCTTTATCCTGGGAGGCAGAGGCGGAAGGGTCACAGAGGGGAATAGGTGGCCTTAGAAACAAATAACGATCATTGATTCATTCAACAAACCTCTGAATGCATCTTGCAACCAGAGACTTCCCATGTATACCTGGTCCTTTCCCAACCATCCACTTGACAGAGAGGGAAACTGAGACTTCTAGGAGACAAGACCCTTGGCCCAAGTTCCAGAGCACACCAGGCCTCCATCTCAGGGGGTCTTTCAGTCCAGAGCTGCCTTCCAGCCCTGGGCGTCGGCAGCCAGTCTAGGGGAGACCATTTCAGCCATGACCCACCTTCTCTAGTTGCTCACTGCCTTTTTCTCCTTCCTCACTCTCCTCCGCAACCCGGCCACCGGGGACCTCAGGAGACAGACCAGTTGGAGGAAGAAAAGGCAGAGCTGGAGTCGGAGATCGCCGAGCTCCAAAAGGAGAAGGAACGTCTGGAGTTTGTGCTCGTGGCCCACAAACCGGGCTGCAAGATCCCCTACGAAGAGGGGCCTGGGCCGGGCCCGCTGGCGGAGGTGAGAGATTTGCCGGGGTCAGCATCCACTAAGGAAGATGGTTTCAGCTGGCTGCTGCCGCCCCCGCCACCACCGCCCCTGCCCTTCCAGACCAGCCAAGACGCACCCCCCAACCTGACAGCTTCTCTCTTTACACACAGTGAAGTTCAAGTCCTCGGCGACCCTTTCCCCGTTGTTAACCCTTCGTACACTTCCTCGTTTGTCCTCACCTGCCCGGAGGTCTCCGCGTTCGCCAGCACCCAACGCACCAGCGGCAGTGACCAGCCTTCCGACCCCCTGAACTCGCCCTCCCTTCTTGCTCTGTGAACTCTTTAGACACAAAACAAACAAACACACAAGGGAGAGAGATTTGGAAGAGGAGGAGGAGGAGAGAGAGGGAAAGAGACAAAGCCGGTGTGTGGCCTCCCTGCCTCTCCTGTCGGACCCTCTGCTACCACTGCCATCGGACAGGAGGACTTCCTTGTGCTTTGTGCTGCCTCTTGTTTCTCTGGCCTGGCGAGGCCAGAGAGCTGGTGACTTTGGGGACAGGGGATAGGGAGGGGATGGACACCCCCAGCTGCCGGTTGGCTCACTCACTTCAACCCAAGCTCTGGGGATGGGGTGGGGGGTGGGGGGTGATGCCCACCTTCGGGCAAGAGGGAACGGGGTGCAGGCGGTGGGCGGTGGGGTGGGCTGGAGTCCTTTCCAGAGAAGCCTAACAAGGAAACGCCACAGAGCTCCCCCACCCAGGGTCGCCCACACCCACCCTTCAAGGGGTAACCAGGCTGGTTCTCCCTGCTCCCCCGACCTTAGCCTATGTATCCAACATTTCCATGTGGTTAGAGCTTCCTCTGAATTGAGCCCCCCTTTAAAGGGAAGCTGATGCTCCCCTATGATAATCTCCTTCCCCCCACCCAGACTTAGTCTGAAATGTGAACCTCCCTCCCTGACCGTCCAGCTGCTCTTCCCAGCAAAACTGGCTCTGGTTTAAAACTCCCGCCTCCTAAGGATGCCCCACGTTCAAACCCCAGCCCTCCGGTCTGATTACAGTATTATTCCCCTCTCCCCACCTTCAGCCTCCCCTCCTGGCCTTCCTTGTTGGGCCTCTCTGATTCAGGCAGCAGGGGGCGATGTGATGCCTGACCTGCTGGAGAGTTTTATACTGTGAAATGAGTTGGCCGGATCGTGGGGGGAGAGAACTCTTGCGGAGGGATTGTACCCCTACTCCCCAAAGCCTTTCCGTGGTTTCCCCTACCCTCCCACCACATGCCTCCTTCCTCCCCTCAGAGTGAGTTAGACTCAAGGGGGTGACAGAATGGAGAGGGGTGTGACCGTTATCCATCCGCGTGGCCCCTCTTCTCCCCCCAGACCAATCCCTGGCCTTTTTCTGCAAGGTCTGGAACCCCAACCCAGCCTAGGACGCCAACTTCTCCCTCCCCTCGGCACCCCACATCCTTTCTAGAAAGGAAGCAGGGGAGATTGCCAGAGGGCCCGACATTTGTCTGGAGATTGAAAGGCTGAGGCTTTGGCCCCCACCCTCCATATTTTTGGACTGGCAAACTCGAAGGGGCTGGGCTCCCGCCACCCCAGCTTCCCCCCAGCCCCAGCCCCGATTCTTGGTTTTGGCTCCTGCACCCCGCCTTCCCTTGTGCTTCAACTCATGAGAATTTTATCATGAGGCCAATGGATTTTTTTTTTAATATCGGGTGGGTCACGCCGCCCTCCGTGCTGCATGGAAAACATTCCACCGCCCCGTCCCGCGGCTCCCGCCCCGAACCCAGCCCCACTCCTGTGCCTATTTATCCATTTCCTGGTTTCCGAAAGGCACTTATATCTATTATGTATAAATAAATATATTATATATGGGTGTGTGTGTGCGCGTGTGAGTGTGTGAGCGCTTCTGCAACCTTGGCCTAGGTCACGTTGGCCCTCAAAGCCATGCCATTGAATTGGAAACACTGCTTCTGGAGACTTTGAGACAGCTTGTCTCTGGCTGTCTCTCTCTGTAGCTGTCTCTTTTCTAACTGTCTCGGCCCTTCTGGTTGTTTCTGGCCGTCTCTGGCTGCCTCCTTCCCGCTCCGTCTTTCCTTGTCCTGTCTTTACCAGACCTTTTCCATCTGTCTCCGTCCTGAGGTCCCTGATCCTCCAGCCGTCTCCCAACTCTGGGTTCGTTGGGGACCTGAGATTTTATTTTTGTGAGTAAGCCTGAGGGATTATAGATTTTCACAATCTGTATCTTTGAGAATTCTGGGTGTGAGTGTGAGACTGTGAGCAGGGCCTGCCCCTGCAGACCACCATTTATTGACTCCCCAACCCCCACCCCCATGCTGTATTTGTGATTTTCTTTGTATTTTGCACCTGACGCCCGGGGGGTGCTGGGGCTGGCTGGCACTGGGCTGCTACCCTCCCCCTCGTGGTTCTGCACTGTCGCCAATAAAAAGCTCTTAAAAATGCATCCATCAAGCTTCAGGTTCTGTTTACTCCTGAAACCCATTACCTGCCTCCCTTTCTTCCTTTCAGCATGAAGGAGTGAGGTTAGATTGCTGTGGGACTACACACACACACACACACACACACACAGGAAATCCTACCGGTGAATCAGCCTACAGCAGGATGGAGGGACTCTAGACAGTCAGGAGAACTTCCAATACACACAGGCTGTGCCTCCTCCTAGAAGAAGTAAGGAGGCAGAAGGTGGGTGATACTGAAGTGCTAAAGGGTCAGGAAGGCTTCCTGGTGAGGGAAGAACTTATGCTTGACCCTGTAATGCTATGGGGATGGCCTGAGCAAAGGTTAGAAAAAGAAGTTGAACTACAGAGGACTATTTTGAGATGGTCCCAGGAGTCCTCAGGCTTATATGAACCAAAAAAACATGGATCATGTTTCAGTAAAGATGCATTTCCTTTTGCTTTTCACATGATCACTTCTTCTGAATTAGGAACATACTGGAGACAACCCGAGGCTGACTAAGCCAAAAATATTGCCACTTCGTCCAAAGATACAGCTGAGCCATCCCCATGGCAAGCTCCAAGCCCACTCATTTGCAAAGGAGCAAGCATTCTGGGAACTGAAGTAATTGTCCAGAGGTCAGAAGTCTTAGTAAATGAATAAGCATGGGAATTCATCATGATGGAATGAATTACTTACTTAATTCAAAAATTTTGCTAAGTATCTACTGTGTGCCCACCCCCATGCTGGGCATTGTTAGGGACACCGCCGAGACTGAGACAGCCCCAGGCTCCCCTCTCCTAGGGTTCAGAGTCAACTGGGGGACACAGACTTGTTCCCTGTCAGGGACATCCAAAGTGGGCAGTTTTGGGGAAGTCCATGGGACTTGGGGGGCCCAAGAGGG